TTGGGAGTCCCTTCCCTGGGGGAACTTCCGCCCGCTCCTGGACGCGTTGCTGTGCAGCCTGCTCTGGGTGACCCTGCTTGGGCAGGGGGTTGGACTGGGTGACCCACAGAGGTCCCTTCCAACCCCTACTATTCTGTGATTCTGTGAAAGGAAATATCTGTTTCCCATCTTGCCTTTAGTGCAATAACTGTCTTCTCCCAGTAGCAACTTCAAGAAATCAACCCCAAACCGCCCTCGGAGAGCTTTTATCACACACACAGGAACGCTCAGACCGTGCGACATGCACCGTCGTTTCCCCTTCGCCAAAGGCGGAAGGGAGGAACTGGTCCACCAAGACAGCTCAGACTCCTCTAACCCCCACTAACCTGCCCTTACTTGCTTACTTTGAGGCATTTCTCACCCAACTCGGGAAGCCGACGGCGCAATTCCGCGCTTCAAGCTTACCGACTGTAAGGAAGGCTTTGGCCACCGCGGAGCCGTGCTCGTTGATGGCTTCGCACGTGAACTCGCCGGCACGCTCGGGAGTCACGTTCCTCACGTGCAAGGAGCTCGAGCCCGCCTCAGACACGGCGAAGTCGGCGCCCGGCGCTGCTCGAGGAGGTTTCTGCGGTTTTGAGGGAAGCACCTGGGCGGGGGGGCTGGGAATGAGTCCTCTGCTGTCGTACCAACGGATGACGGGAACGGGTCGGCCAGTGGCATTGCAAGACAGCGTAACGTCCCCACCATCCGTCACAACGGTGCTTGCTGGTGGAGAGACTATAACTGGCCTAGAGCCTTTGCCTAGGCGGAAAGACGACAAAAACAAAGAATGAATTTAGCTCAGGGATACGATGCTTAATGCCAAAATGAGGCAACACAATTAAAAAAGTCAGGCATGTTTCTTTTTAACCGTTTTTAAGTTCTTTCTTCTCTAGGTAGCCTCTCCAGACTGAAGAGATCAGCCGAAACTTGCGCTGATAGAAAACTACACTCAAACCACACTCCATATTTTCTAAATAATCTGACTGTCAGTGGGGAATGCAGTGCAGGCAGGACTCGCTTAGTCCGCTCCACAGGCAAGCAGGTCACAAAAATACCTGCTCAGACAGCTCCTGCCCAGCTCACATCGATCTTAACAGCTACAGAGCAGGCCAAAAGCTTCAGCTACACGTAACGGGGAGAGAAAGGGAACAGCAAGGGTCTTGCCAACATCCTCCTGCCAGCAGAAATCAAGTTCTCTAGGTATCAGAAAGTATCTCGGACTGGAAAGCGCGAAAAGGGCTATCGGTACCTGCTACTCTGGTACCGGGGAAGCGTGCATTAACTCCAAATCCAATGATTGTTTTGTAAACTTGAGGGTGAGGAATGGGCATAACGACTTGTTGGTCAATACTACTAAGAATGCCAGGTCATCCAGCACAACACGACCCCGATTCTATTTAAGAATAAATCACGTCAGATTCAATCATAAGCTGATTTAACTGCAGCTGGCAATCTAGGTTTTAAGTATCAAGTAACCACGCTACCGCAGAAATACCAACACCTCTTAAAAATCACCTGAAAGCACCTTATTTCTAAGATTTGCCACAAACAGCGGTCAGAAGCAAACTGATATGTAACCTAGGGGGAAAAATGGAATAAAGCTTGAAGTACAAACGCTTAGCTTGAGCTCTTGAGGGCTGCAAGGGCTCCTACCTGGCTGGACACGAAGTCTCCCAGTGGACTGCACCAACCCAACCCCGTTGTCTGCCACACACTGGTACAAGCCAGAGTCCTCTTGGGTGACGCCGCGGATCCGCAGACGGTTTCCCGTCGGCACGTGCCGCGGCGAGGGGCGGAGGGGAGCTGCGTTGTGCAGCCAGGTGAGGGTTGGCGCAGGGGCTCCGCTGACATCGCACC